CAGTTTTTGTGATATTACATGTTCACTGCAAGACATACGAATATTGACCCGCTTATAAGTCGGTACAGTACAAATAGGCGGTGCAAATATTTTGACGGTTTACGCCAATAATGCAGTGAATACGACCAACTTTAAAATGATGTTTGTATGCCCTCTCTCGACTCAGGACGAAAAAATTGGGTCTGTAGGTAGGTGCGAATTTTTTTCTCCAGAAAATTTTAATATCAATGCTGAATTTTCAAAATCTATTTTCCGAAATGCAATAAATTAAGATGTTTCCTGGCAGTTAAAAAGAGTTTTGAGTCGGGCCATTTTTAGCCGGTCGGAGAGGGCAATCAACCAATTTTGACAGATGGTTTAATATGTACAATATCGTAAAAAAACATACATTACCCATGTAAAAGGGGAAAGGGATTGGCTCGGCACTTATTATTGCCTGTGTCAATATTTACCAATGTAGGACAATGAATACATGTATGTTCAGTATTGTAGGTACATATTGCCTCCCCTCCCCTAAGCTTCATTTAATTTGTCAGAAAACCTCCTCAAACTTCATTCTTTAACTTGTCAGAAAGGTTTAACTGGATTGTGTAACTGCAGATTCCCCCCTCCCCCCTCTTGCCGATCATTTTTTTTGTATCCGCCCTTGAAGCTTTCTTTCATAAATTCATCTAGGTCATGAATAAAATAACAAAAGATATATCCTTACGATGAAAAAATATCAAACAATGAACTCTGTAATTACTAGGAAGACGCAATGTTATCAGTCTTATCTTACAGATTCTTTTTAAATTTTTAAACAAAATATTTTTCATAAACTACAAATAAATAAAATTCAAGTATGTAAAATATCTAAACACATGTCTTTTATTTGTTTGTTTTTTATTCAATATTTACTTTTCTCAGAACCGTATATCAGAGCAATATTCACGTCTAACATGAAGTCGCAAGTGTTTAAAAGAAAAAAAACATACCGGGTATTTACCGATATAAAACCATTATCTGTGTTTTATTGATATGAGAAAACTTACATAAAGTATTTTTTTATCGGATTTTTTAAATCATGTGTGTTACAATTGACCAAAATTGACATTTATGCAAACATGTCGACACTCTAAAAATGTACATGTAACTTACTTCTGATACAGAGTCCAAAACACCTCTTCTATATAAAATTAAACTAATACACTGTAACAACTTGTATATAATTTAGATATACTTTAACGAAAACAACTATATCAAATATTGCATGTAAAATAAAGGCAGGAGATTTATGCATAAACTTTTCGTGTATGTTTTCGTGTGATAAAGTAATGTTTTTTCAATCAGATGATATTTCAAATATTTCTGAGAGGGATATAAAAGCGTCAGTTTGAACGTCATTTTTCAACGTCATTTTTAAAGATTATCTTAACATTTTCTTAACCTTTGATTCCCTATATCTCAGTAATTATTCTCAATATTTGAATCAAACTTTATATCTGTTTATTTTACACTATAATCTATCATAATCCATTGAAAAGTCAATTTTGAAAATTTTTACCTTAAGGGCCCTTTTCGCATGGGACGGCTCATATAATATTCTAACACACAGACAATTCCTAGATAATATGACAATACACTTAATCAATCTGATAACATCAACTTAAAATGATACGTTAATTAACATTGTTTGCACAGGGCGTATTTCTCTTCCATCAATTCATCTGTTTAATCTACTATATTCAATAGAGAATAAATTATAATGCCACCAACATCTGTATAAAACTTATACAAAAATTTACACATTACAGGAGTAATAGATACTATGATATGTATGGGATTAAATTATGATGGAATATTCATTTTATAATATGTATTTCACGTTATGAAGACACTAAGGGATACTTTTTTTGTCGGTAAGAATAATATGCAGTTTCTAGGACCCATACAAACGCTTTAAATTCAAGGATGTATGTTATACAAATTATAATTTGATAGATCTTTTTTATTTCCTCCATTGAATTTAGTTTTCGTTTTGTCACCAAAAAAACCCGTTATCTATACATTCAATAGATTTAAAATTTTCTGTCATCTGGTGGTAGAAAAAAGAATATGCTTTTTATGAAAAATGATGAAAAGCGCAGAACTTAATTTCCTTCTCAATTTCTTTTACGTTAGCAGTAGTTCTACAAAGTGGTCGAAAAGCTGAAGAAAGAAATATTTTTCACCTAATATGCATGTTCATGCTCTATTTATTTTTACTTTCGATTCAGAAATGAAAAGAAAAAAGTTTAAATGTTAAATGTTTAATTCGTGTGTAACATGTATTCCACAAAGGAAATGAATAGAGATTTTTTTTTAAATTGCATAAAAGTTTTACATGTTGGAAAAATCAAACATGTAATATACTCGAGGAAGGTTGTACACCTGTTTATATTTGCCTGATGCATTGGATTGAATGAGCTGTAGTAAGTCGCAGCCAATCATGAAAAACATTTTCCATCGGCTTATGTATCCATTCACTTAAAACATTTATCCACCTTAAGTTTGTAACGAAGAAGAATTCCCAACAAAAATTTATTATGTGATAAGAAAAATTGCATAAACCTATAAATGAAAGCAAAAAGTATGAAATTTGAACACCACAGAAAATCTACAATTTTCTAATATATGAATTTGATATTTGCACCATTTGGAACGACTAAATCCAAAATTATGTACCATACCATCTGTTTCAAAGAACTACGCACGCTAACTCTAGATTCCCGCCTACATTTTACACCAATTAATTCAATACTAATGGCAATTTGGTCATAAAATCAAAGTAGAAGAGTTCAATGGTAATTGACTAAAAATTTTAATACCAGTGTTAAACAAATAATTACTCTTAATTCCAGCTCCTTTTATAAGAGGGTAGACGATGTTTTCCATTGAAATCAGGCTTGAAAGCATCAGCATATTTAAAATATTCTTGGATATGGATAACTGTTCTTTAAATCTTTCCTTATGTTTTACGCGTATAAAATTAAACATATGTAAATGATAAAATACAACGTTTAAGTTGTAAACCCCTTCGAAATTGGTGGAAAAAATGAGCATTTTTGTCGTTTTTTGTCTGTAAACATGTCCCCCATATATATTACCTGTAAAAAGGAATTTTTGTTTCGGGGGGGGGGGGAGGGGGGGATGTTTTAAAAATATTTTCCATTTATTTCTATAGTGAAAACACAAGTTTTACCAAAATTATAGAGTTATCTCTCTTTGTTTTCCCAAATAAGTAATGTTTTATGAAAATTCATATAAATATATCAATATGAAAAATCATTCAAATATGTTAACTTTTGAAAATTGACTTGGAGCTAGTCGGGAGAACAATACTATCGTTCGCAGTTCTTTGTCTGTTGACCCCAAATATTATCTATACATGGTGTTTCTACATTACACGTAAAAATATCAGTTTGCAAAATATCAGCCAAATCTGTAATGTACCATTTCCAACTTTTTTTTGCGAAAATATTTGATGCTTACAGAGAATGATTCTTAATATTGTCGCCCGCGTGGCGTAGTGGTTAGAGCGTTCGCTCTAGAGTCGCGGAGTAAAGAGTTGATCCTTACGTCGCGGGTTTGAATCCCACTGTGGGAAGTGGAGATCGGTCCTTCGATCGGATGAGACCTATAAACCGAGGTCCCGTGTCGCAGTAGGTGCTGGCACGAAAAAGATCCCTCACTGGTCAATTGCCCTGAGTGCTGAGTATATTTCAAAATTTGTAGCTCTCCACCGGCAAGTGGTGGCGTCTCCATATGAGTGAAAAATTCTCGAGAGGAACATTAAACAATAAACAAAAAAAACTCTTAATGTTTCTTTCTTTACTCCCTACTTCATTCTCAACAAGATAAAACAACTGAGCCATATACAAACTCCTTCCCTTTAGAAGTCAATGACTAACAGGCTTATCAATTATATTCAAAATTTACATTCTTTCTTTAGTCACTATGATGGCATTGTATAAGAAGACACCCGATGTCTCCCGAGATGTCGCCGTTATCCCACACTGACGACGGAGAGATTCAACTAAGGTACATACAGAATACGAGTACTCAAAAATAAACACAATACTTAGATTCTGAAAAGAAAACTCCAGTCACTACGTTGGTCTTTGAGCAACTCCTGCAAGGCAGTCCCATACATTACTGCATGATAAACAACAGCGTTGAGAGACAAAACACCATTATTAGCAGTAACTATCAAGACTTGAATACTATCGAGTGCCAGCAGGAAGTTAGTGCCAGCAGGAAGTGGTACTTGTAAACAAAGAAGATGGTGTGGAACTGTATAAAGTATGACACGTGAGAAAAAAAATCTGCATAAAAATTTCTCACAGACATGAGATAGTTGAATGATAAACTTGAATTTTAGTCGTCTGTTCGAAGAAAAGGTTAAAAACATTTTACGTTTTCAAATCAAATCAACTATGGTTTCCTTTGAAGTGTCATGCAGCCCTTCCGATTGTGACAAGGTAGAGTCTATAACATAACCCAGTCACGGTTTCCGGGAAAATAAATTCCGATTTGAGACTCCACCTTCTGACAACGATATATCAAAACTTAAATTACTGTTAGAAAATATACAATCACCACATTCTTTATGACAAGTTTATGGGCAACAGCTTTGCATATGCAAATTTAAATTGTTTCACACACAATCAAATTTTGAAGAGAAAAAAAAATAAGATTAATGTATTCTTTTTCTGTCTAGTTTCACACTGTTTTCCCGTTCTGTTAAATGTATGGCTCTCCGATCCTATGAAAAATTGCGTTAGAAGGATGATCTGTACTATCTGTAATTGTATGAAAGGTTGGTTTGCTTCGAGAATTTTTCACTCACGTTGAGACGCATCCAACGCCATTGGAAGGCTGCAATTTTAGATACGTAGTCGACTCGACACGGGAAATTTAAACTTTAAAATGAATTGCGTTCGCACTGACAACGGTGACCCGTTTCCTTTTCCATACACTTACTACTTTGTATATAAACTTGAAAGTCTGCAGATAAGATCCATACTTGCTGGAAATAGGTAAGACAGCATCATATTATCTGAAATTATCATTTGTTATATCAAGTATGAATTTTCCGAGCTTTAATTTCAGTTTACGATTTTTTTCCCTAGTTTCAAACATGTAAGATGTACTTGTCACTCTTAAATATGAGTCATACCGTGTTGACATCATTGTCCAAATGCTGATTTTTTTTTTCTTTTGTTCCTTTGATTTTTAAGTCACTTGCATCAGTCACCTGAGTCACTCATGTTACCTATTGCTATCGGTTTTTGTCCGTCGTGGGACATGCGTCGGTCGTAGACTTTTGAACATTTTCAGTTTCTTATCTTGAACCGTTGAACCAATTTTGGACTATAGCATCAACGGGTGAAGGGATTCCAAAATTGTGAATGGTCCCTGCTCTCCTGGGACCTGAGGATTGGGGCTAAAATCGTCAAAACTACTGGACATCAAGCAATGAAAGTGATTGTAATTATGATTGTAATAACCAATGAGCCTTCTTCCAATATTGTGAAATTCATGGCCCCAAAGACAGAGGATCTGTAGTCAAGGCGGGGATCTAATGAACATATAGCGAAAATGCATAAATTCTTTAAAAATCTTTTCTTTCCGTGTATATTTAGCAAATAAATTAGGTGCATGGTTATGACTATAAGTGCCTCTTTAAAAATTGTAAAAATCTGGGTTCTTGTCAAGGGTTCGAGTGGGGGGGGGGGGGGATAGGCTCAATTGATTACATAGTGAAAATGCTAATTACTAATGAAATATGGAGATAACGAAAGTATTCAAGCTCAAAGTCCATTAAAACAGTACAAATCGGGAGAGAGCAAACAGCAAACAAAGTAAATGTATAGATATGATAAGCAAGGGTGCGCCTCTTCCAAAATTCTGAATTTCATGGCTCCAGGATCAGGGGTTTTGGCTTTAGGACAGGACTCTATTGATTGTATTAAGTACATTTTGTAGCTGCAATGTTATTGTTAATAACTCAATCGTTTGTGTAACGTGTATGATTGTTCGTTTAAGGGAAGAGATCGTGCGTGAATTGGGTTCGATCGTTTCAGCTTTTAATCGTGCGTGGACACTATTTTCTAAAGAAAATAACCCTTGAAATGAGTGGTTTTGAGGAATTTTCTCTTTAAATATTAGGAATGTACGACATTAATGATGTCACATTTCCAGAACTGTTCTCCTTCATGCCACATTGTTTCATGATTTATGATATTCATGTACTCTACTCATATTTAAGCCAATTTCGGGACTTTGAAAAATTGACTGTGTAGTGTAGGACAGCACCGCGGGAATTCCATCGGCATCAAAAGCAAGTTAAAGTTAACTTGCCTAGATGGCCGAGCGGTCTAGCAGTTCCTGTACTGCTAGGAGACAGATTCCGTTGGTCGAGAGTTCAACCCCGGGTTGGGGCGGAAGTGGGTATCCATGTAAATGTGAATTTCTTTGTGCTTTCTATATTAATATTTCTTCACTTAAGGCAATTATATTTGTTTAAGAGTTTTTCTAAAATGTGCTTTATATATATATATATAGAGAGAGAGAGGGGGGGGGGATCTAGCGGGAGGGAGAGTGGAGGTGGGTTCAGAGTTTAATTCAGAGATCAAATTTGTATATACATGTAACTTGTTAAGTCGGGAAATGACGTTGCCCCCAACTTCCCCTAGAAAACATATTTATCTATCTATAAGAAGGAAAGCAACTTGTCCCCTTCCCATCCTCAAAAATTAGTTTTTTTCCTTCCGTCAAAATCCCTCCTCATCCCCCCGGAAAAAGAAATCCTGGATCCGCGCATGAATTTGTAATATTTTCACTTTGTTAAATTTTAGATTCAAGTCGTGAGAAGTGTGAATATGAAAGGAATATATGCCTTTATTGTGATTTGTTGCATTCTCAACTTGCATCTGATACAAGGGTATTACACAACAGGGGTTATTCGCGACTACTGTTTAGAAAATGAGCTGCTAACAACCATCATACACATTGCATCAACTGGTATAATCTACAATGGATGTATACCCTCACCTTTAAACGAAAAGTGTGTTATTGTAGGTAAGTACAGTACCTTTGCTTCTCATTTAACAGATATAACAAATACATGATTAAGACTTTTTGGATTAAGTGTTGTACTTTCTTTTATTGTGGACATTTTTGAATCCATACTTTCATCAGATATTACAGTGAGGGGTTGGAGATGCCCTGGCAATTCTTTCCCGACTTTTAATGCCGCCGGGAGAATGAGATGTTGTACAAAGGAAGGTGAGTAGTGCGTTCGTATTTACACATCTCGAACATCAACTTTACATTTAAATGTGGTTAAAAAGCTAATTAAAGTGAAATTAAATATGCATTACTTGAGAATCAATAACATGAAGTCTACTTCCTTTATAAATAAATAGGTTTGGAGGTTCAGAGCTGCATTTTTGACTCTAATATCTACAACTTTGACAACGACTTTGTAGCGAATCCTCCAAAGGGGTTTCATCTAAAGGGTCGATTTGGTTTGGGGTAAGAATATATATTTGATTATTATAGTTGAAACATATTCCATAAACACTGAATTAAACTATTTTGGGGCCTCGATTTCAAAGAACGCAACCGCAAGACCTGCAACTTTTACTCCGAAGTGCTGAGCGCTTGGTAAGGATCAATTGCACCCTATCTTTTATCGACTAGGGGGTTGAACCCACAACTTTCGTATCACACAGCGAGCGCCCTGTTGACCGAGTTTTTGCGACGATCTGGATATCTTGATTGTGTTGTTGCATGTCCCGTTCGAGAATTTTTAACTCATACAGAGACCTCACCATATAACAGTATAGGACTTCCAATTTAGACCTTTACTCGGCCATTGAGCAGTGAAAGTTCTTTACAGTGCCAACGCCTGACACAAGGCCTCGGTTTTTAAAGTCTCATCCGAAGGACCTGCAACTTTCACTTCAAAGTGCCGAGCGCTTGGCGAAGAAATAGTTACTTTCATTATTTTATACATATAATATTTAAAAAAAAAAAAAACATAAGAACAAAGTTCTCCACCGTTACATTGGTGTACATGACCGGAACGAAATTTTATGTTAAAAAGTTTTTTTTTTAACCTACAGACTTCTAGAAAGCTTATTAACAGGTAAATGTATACTACAAAGTATAGATATGATAAATTTAAGAACTTTTTAACAAAACTAATGTACATGTAGAGCACTACTTGTGTGGACCCTGAGCTCCACGCAGAAAATAAATAAGCGAGGTTTAACCGGATGCTGTGTGGGGAAAGTTTGTCTGCGCATGAACCATAATGCTAGATAGTTCGCCCCTAGTATAACACCTTATGGCAAGTCAGAACTCGCCCGTCATTGGCATTTGTACATTGTATTTATAAGTCTATCCAAGCTTCAATTCTTCTTTCTCGAGCATATACATATATTTTTGTATTATAGTTTAACTTTTATAAAAGGGGAAGAATTACTTTGCTTTACAGCGAAAAGTAAAAACTTTCACATTCGACGATTATTCTTAAGAAGAAAAAATGCATGTAGGACAGCTTTCTAGCATAAATTTTGTGCATTGTATGCAGTCTTCAACTACGACAACACCTAGTTTTGAAAGTTGTCTGCCCTGTCAAGGAATACGATACTGTTAAATTGGACATTTTTATACCCCTCGCAAACGAAGTTTGGAGGGTATATAGGAATCACCTTGTCCGTCTTTCTTATGGACAAACTTGGTGAGTTCCCATTTTAGAAAAAGATTGCTTATGACCTGAGGGTATGTCGTGACCTTGACCCAAGGTTATTTGAGCAAGTTCAAGGTCGCTGAAAGAAAAAGTTCATAATTTGTGCCCGGTCCATATTTTTCTTATGAATAAACTTGGTGGGTTTCCATTTTTCACAAAGATTGTTTATACCCTGAGGGTGTGTTCACCCAAGGACATATGGGCAGTTCATGGTCACTGAAAGAAAAAATTCACAATTCGTGTCCGGTCCATATCTTCTTATGGATAAACTTGGTGAGTTCCAATTTCACATAAAGGTTGTTCATGACCTGAGGATGTGTCATGACTTTGACCCAAGGTCATTTGGGCAAGTTCAAGGTCGCTGAAAGAAAAAAGTTCATAATTCATGTCCAGTCATATCTTCCTTATAGATAAACTTGGCGAGTTCAAATTTTACGAAAAGATTGCTTATGACCTGAGAATATATCGTGACTTTGATCCAGAGTTATTTGAGCAAGTTCAAGGTCGCTGAAAGAAAGTTCATTATTTGTGTCCGGTCCATATCTTTCTTATGAATAAACTTGGTGAGTTTCCATTCTTCACGAAGATTGTTTATGCCCTGAAATTGTATCAAAGGTCATTTGTGCAAGTTCAAGGTTATTAACAAAAAAAAATCATAATTCATGTCTGGGCTGTATCTTTTTTATGGAGAATAATGCTGAGATGTTGGGAGTTTCAACTTCACACAAAGACTGCTTATGACCTGAGGGTGTGTCATGATCTTGACCTATAGGCACTGTAGAAAAAATTGATAAATAAGGCATCCATATTTTCCAATAGAGAAATACTTGAAAAATTGTTATTTATTTTTTCAATGTAATAAAAAAATGTTATATATGTATTGATGCTTTATTAGGCTGCGCCTTAGTTTCATTTATTAAAAAATATAATGAGTAACCGACAGATGCTTAAACGTGATATCTAATTCCTTAAATGTCAATATAGAATTGCGTCGGTTTATATGAAATCAACCTAGTACAAAGTCGTAATCGATCACAACAATTTATACCTTTCTGCTTACCCTATGATCTAGTGAACTAATAAGAGAAATAAAGTTTTATGTAAACTTAAGGATGAATATTAATATAATTGTTAAAGGCTAACATGTGGAGGTAATTTATATGAACGTACAGGGTGGTGACAAAAGTGAGTAAATTGGTGGATTTTGTGTGTAAACAAATTAAGGTAGTTAAAAACCTACTTTTGAGTTGTGTTTTGATTCAATACTTTGTAATTTGGAAGGCAGCTCTGCAGAGCTTATGTTTATTACTTTAAAATATCTTAAATAAAATTTTCTTATCTGATAACCAACTTAACACGACGAAGAATTGATGAATATAAGTTCTGTATGTACATTAAAGGGATTGATAGCAGGGCATGCTGAAGTACTGCTTTCAAATCAATAACTCTATAAATATGCATCATATGTCTTTTTTTTATTTTTTAAGATGAGCCAAATTTTTCAATAAATCTGATATCAGGAGATTGAGCAGGCCATGGTAAGGTTGGAATGTTATTTTCTTTCCAGGCTTTACTCATTTTTGAGATATGAGGTGGAGCGTTGTCTTCCTGAAATATGTCTGGTTTGTTTGTGAAATATTTGGCTTTGACTGACCACAGGTTCTCATCTAACACGTTTATGTATTTCTCACTGTCCATATTTTCGTCTGTGCAAGTTAATAATCCCTAAACGTGGTGTGTAATACAACCCCACACCATTACTTTCTTCACGTTCCTGTCAGTATTACCCTTCAGGTGGCCAATGCACTCGGGAAGGTACTTCTCTCGTTTTGTACTCCAGACTTTAACAACCCCACAAGCACTCACAGGTACTGCCATTTCATTACTAAATATGATCTTACTCTAGTTTGGACTACTTTCCATCTTAACTTACTTCTTGCCCAAGATTGATTGTTTGTTCTTTAACGTACCTCTCGAGAATTTTTCACTCATATGGAGACGCCACCACTTGCCGGTGGAGGGCTACAAATTTTGACCTATAATCGGCACTCAGGGCCATTGAGCAGTGAGGGACCTTTTTCATGCCAGCACCCACTGCGACACGGGACCTCGGTTTATACGGTCTCATCCGAAGGCCCGGTCTCCATGTCCCGCAGCGGGATTCGAACCAGAGACATAAGGATCAAATCCTTACTCCGCGACTTTAGACCAGACGCTCTAACCATTGCGCCACGCGGGCGACTCTTGCCCAAGAAACTCGACGTACTTTGTCCGACTCTCAACTTCTTGGCGATAGCACGCTTTCTAAGGTCACACTTGTGAATGGATCTCAGCATTGTTCTTTTTGACACAGATACATGGTTGAAAGTAATGAATTCATTAGTGATTTCCAGAAAAGTTCATGTCTGATTCCCCCGATTACTTGTCCGACAACTCCGATCGTCCAGTTTTTATATAGGTCGCCCTCATCTGTGGCAATTCTCAATAGAGTCGCTGTCCTGATACCGCTTCAAAAACCTACATATTGTTGCTGGAGTTATTTTCAATACTTTTAGATATTTCACTTTGAAACCGCTGTTAAAGCTGAACATGACTCTTAAATAGGCATACGCCATTTTCGATATTACTATCAACGATATCAGCACCGGGGTATACGCTTCGCATTCGTTACACCCGACTGCTTTATTGTCACGGGTATCGGCGTGGAATGGTTACCCGTGTTCGTGCTGGTTATCTAGCATTACATTTGTTTACATTTTATTGCAGTTACATGTACGTATATTTGTGTTTGTTTGCATACTGCACTGACCTGTGCGACTGTTGTAAGTCTCTTTGGTATCTTACGCTCCTGCATTAGAAAAAGTACACAGTTATTTTTTGTCGCTACGAGTGCTGTATACATACATCCGTCTACACCAGTAACAATTGATTACACTGAACAATGACTAAGTGAGCTGTTCTATAAATAGGGGTCCTCAGATATAGCAAGAGTTTGTTCGAATATGGCGGACAGATTCTTTTTACGAAGCTTCTTCAGCTTTAAGTAACTCCAAAATAATTGTTTTTGTCTCACCTGTCATTTCCTGTCGTTTGGTATCCATTGTAAACTAATGGCGGTCTATAGTAGAAATAGACACTAAGTCTTGTACCTCAGTCTATACACTGAAAAGCTAACACAGTCGTACCAAAAATCACTCTTTTACATGACAACAACACTTGACGCTCTAGCTTTATGTAGCGAACACTTTATTTGTATAAACGCGACTTCAGCAATCAGAATTCAAAATGGCGGAAAATTTACTCACTTTTGTCACCATCCTGTAGATGACTGCGATACTTACACGTTTTTTTTTTTTACTAATGTTGATGCATTTACTTCTCATTCACAGAAACCCGAACGACCCATTCGGTTATAGGTTAGAATATTGTTCTCTGCAACGTCGACGTCATCAATATTGAAATCAACCCTGTGTACCATCTGACATCATCATCAGTAATCGATCGACCTCATCTTTGTGATATTAATTAGAGAGTGACGACAAACTACATGGTATCAGAAAAAAAATCTAATAAAGATGATGATATACCAATTTTTTTTCCCTTGTATTCTTATCCATCACATATAAACAGTCTTCATTACAGTTGTTTGATCAGTTCCTAATTTTGATCAGCTCCGAATAATTTAAGAGCTGATGAATGAATTTAAAAGTGCAAACATAAATTGATACCTACATGTATGGTAAGAACTTTAATTTTAACATAATGCCCTCATATATTTACAGCACCGCCGAATCGGTTTCCTATTCGGAACTTGTCAAATGACTGCACTACCAAAGTTCATTCCTTAATTGTGTATACTTCCCGAGACGTACAGAAATTAATTCCAAAATTGACTTTTTCTTTTTAAATAAGCTTGGGCCCTTGGTCATTCACATGTATACAAACGGTGTTTGAACTGCAGTGAACAGTTGTATATTATGTGCATAATCTATCAGCGTTTCAAAGTTTATGTTTTCACTCTCGATCGCAAGTTTAAGTCTCTAATAATTCTTTTCGAGCACAAACATTAATTACGTTTCCACCGAACACTGTATAGCCATGTTGTTTACTAAGGTAAAACAAGATGTGTTTGTGACACACTGATGCCCCCGTAAGGCAGCTTATGACGAAGGTTAAAGTTTTCAAATGCAAGTCAAAATCCAGGCCAAAAGATAAAAAAAATGTTGATACCCAAGGAAAGGTTTTGTCTCGAGGAATATACCTGTGACATTTGAAAGCCCTAGCTGCAACTGTTCAAAAGTTACGGCGAAGGTTAAAGTTTTTTATAGGTAAGTAGAACGTCAAGGTCAAAGTTGTTGGTATCCAAGGGAAGGTCTTGTCACACGAATTACATATGTGAAGTATGAAAGCCCTAGCACCAACCGTTCAAAAGTTATGGCCAAGGTTAAAGTTTTCAAAAGTAGGTCAAACTCTTATGTCAAGGTTAAAGTGGTTGGTAACCAAAGAAAGTTCTTGTCACAAGGATTGCATATGAAAAGTACGAAAGCCCTAGCTCCAACCGTTCAAAAATTATGGCCAATGCTAAAGTTTTTCAAAAGTAGGTCAAACTCCAAGGTCAAAGTTGTTGGTATCCAAAGGAAGGCCTTGTCACAAGGGATACACATGTGAAGTTTGAAACCCCAAGCACCAACCGTTCAGAAGTTATGGCCAAGGTTAAAGTCTCATGACATTTTGCAAAAGTGGGTCAAACTCCAAGGTCAAAAGATCAAATATGATGGTACCCAAAGAAAGGTCTTGTCACAAGGAATACACAAGTGAAATATGAAAGTCATAGCTCCAACCAATCAAAAGTTATGGGCAAAGTTAAAGTTGACAACAGACAGACAAACAAACAGACAGACAGGACAAAACAATATACCCCCGGGATCTTTCGATCCAGGGGCATAAAAAAAAATTCCCGGAATTTATTATATACTTTTTAGAGTCTAAAAAATTAAACCGCTACAATGTTGTTGGTAACCTGGTAAGACCATATGATCAATCAGATAAAGTTTTAGGGACTGAGTGCTACTAAGCAAAAGTTTAGCGAGAATGAAATAAATTCCGGGAAAATCGTCCTGTCGTTTCTGCTTTATAATTAGTGTTAATAATCAAAGTCCCCAGTCGGCAATCCTCGACTGACTCCGCTACGCTCCATAGATTGGTGGAGGAATATGCATCAAATCGATGCATTTCTCCACCGGAACTGCCTTTTACCTCATTTCGTATTTCATATACTTTGCATAAACTTCACCAAAAAAGTTTCCTGTCTAGCCTAATTCTTCCTTGTATATTGGTTTTCATTAAAACCTGCAAATATTCTTTGAAAGCAGAAACATAGTGTTGAGTGTGCCACAAAGAAACTCAGATTTCAAAAGAATAATATTTGGAGGAATTTCGAATTGGATCATATGATTGTATTAGTAAAATGGTAGAACACCGTTCACGAAGGAGCTCCGAGTGCAGCGCCTGAGGCCCAAGAAACGCAGGCTAGTTTCGAGAAAAGTAGGTCAATTTTGAAATGGATTTCAGCATATCTCGGAAAGTATACGGAATTTTGGAGTGAACTTTGATGGCATATGAATTTTGGATGTGAAGATATGAATGAAGTCCGAAATATCTGACGTTTTCCAGGCTTTTTTTCACGATTTTGATATTTTACGTGCCAGGAAAACGTCAGAGCCGTCGCCATTACGAAAACTGGAAATTTCACTGTCTCCATCCGGAGCTGATTTTCGATATTTGCGATCTGAATTAAATGCCGAACTTACAATTTATCAGTAGCACAATGCTTCTAGTACTCACCAACATCAATGAAAAGAAAATATCACTCCACATTTCGATACAGGTCTTGCAAGATTTTAAAATGCACGAAATGAAAAGAAAACTCGACCGTCTGATAAAATGTTTTCACCAGACTGTATATTTCATAAACAAACCATAAAACGATGTTGGTGACCACTTAAGTCATTTTACTATTAGTAAGTTGTGAATTCAGCATTTAATTTGGTTTGCAAGTATCGAAAATCAACCCGAGAATGCCGCCAATCCAGCTGGAGGCGGTGAATTTCCAGTTTTCGTAATGGCGCCGGTTCTGACGTTTTCCTGGCACGTAAAATATCAAAATCGTGAAAAAAAAGCCTGGAAAACGTAAGATATTTCGGACTTATATGAATGTAAAATGTAATTTTAAATCATTTGATTTATGAGTATGTCATTGGCGAAAGTGTGTATCCTATGCGACCCTTTATTTTTCTGCCCCCCCCCCCTTTCCCCCGCCCGTTTTATCAGTAGAATTAAAGCGATCCAAAGGTCTCTGGGTGAAAGTGAGGTTGGTATCAAAGTACATGTAGATTAGAAAGTAGGAGGTGTAAAATCAATTAAAATGCAAAAAAGGTGCCGATATATTATCACTAATTTTTCGCAACACCTTATTTTCGCGAGAAAGAGTTTTAGTCCACTTGGTATAAGTTTGACCTTGAACATTTTCATCACGTTAGTGTTTCTTAGAATGGTAAAATGTATCTCCTTAAAAATCGGACGAGTGGCTATCATAAAGTCAAATTCAAAAATAAGAATATGACTTTCATTTTATATCTGGTACACTGCGCCATACTACTCACTATGAACGTTATTTTCTGCTGCATTACCTCAGCTCAAGGATTTTTACCAAATATTGCGAAATGTGATATTTTAAGATAAGTTTTACTAGTACTCACTATGACTTTTCATTTTCTTCTGTATTTCGTCATCTCGAAGATTTTTACCAAATATTGCGAATAGTGATATAGTTTTCTTGCTTAGTATTACTTATAATTTAACAGGGGCTGGTTTGAATTGGGCATGACACTTTCTGGCGTAATAATTTTTCAACATTACAGAGGCCAAGGGTACATATTATGAACCCATAATACACCTTATCATACACTTATTAGTCCCCTGCCGGTGAAACGAGTCTGTCCGCCTGTCTGTCAGTCTGTCCCACTTGGTTTTCCGCACTTTTTTCTAAACGCTTGGATATTGAGCTGATTTTTGGTGGGTGTATCTTGATGAGTTACCGATCAAGTTTGCATTTCCTTCCGCTTCAATGATTTTTGAGGGAATTACGACCTTTTCAATTTTTCAGGGTTTTCCGCTCTTTTTCTAAACGCTTGCAGATATTGAGCTGATTTTTGGTATGTGGCTTCGCCTTGACTAGTTATAATTCAAGTTTACATTTCGTTCCGCTTCATTGATTTTTGACGGAATTACGGCACTTTCAATTTTTAACGGGAATCAGATTACACTTGCCGGTAGGGGACTAGTATTGCTAAGGCAATACTCTCAGAATGCTTGTTAGTCCCCTACCGGTGAAACCGGAGGGGACTATAGGTTTCCTCTGAGTCTGTCCGTCCGTCTGTCCGTCCGTCTGTCTGTCAGTCTGTCCCACTTGGTTTTCCGCACTTTTTTCCTAAACGCTTGCAGATATTGAGCTGATTTTTGGTATGTGAGTGTATCTTGATGAGTTACAGATTAAGTTTGCATTTCGTTCCGCTTCATTGATTTTGGAATTACGGCCTTTTCAATTTTTACGGGTTTTCCGCAATTTTCTTCTAAACGCTTGTAGATATTGAGCTGATTTTTGGTATGTGGCTTAACCTTGATTAGTTATAGATCAAGTTTGCATTTCGTCCCGCTTCATTAATTTTTGACGGAATTATGGCATTTTCAATTCTTAACGGGAACAGAACCAGATTACACTTGCCGGTAGGGGACTAGTATTGCTCATGCAATACTCTCAGAATGCTTGTTAAATTAGACTTTAATAGTATCAAAATAAAAAAAAATACTAGTTTTGATAGTTGACAATTTTTTTTATACTTTTTACAACATCTTACACAAGGAAAATGATTAGTTTGTAGCGTAGATCCCTGTGGCAGTAAAATCTCTGTGGAACGCCATCTCTGTCAAAGTTATCTCCGCTAAAGCCCAATTAAGTTTCTTCAGGTCGAACACAAAATACCAGCCGTGTCATTTATAAAATTTATGAAACAATTTAGCCCCCCCCCCCCCCCCCATTTCCTTTGATTGTTTTAAACATATTTTATTGACAATTTATGTCAACGGGATTGAACACAAGTTCTAAAAACTTAATTAGTCCTCTTCCGGCTCCTTTTAGTGTTATGTCTCGATGTGTATGGTTTCTAATCTACATATACCGGAAATTACATGCCGTGAGTTTTCTTTATACTTTCTATAAGATACCGGTAGTTTTTCTTTACCCTCCATCTAAATTTAACATGGTTGACGCACATCAAATCACCCTTGTGTGAAATTTATGTATCTACTTAATGTATTTTTTTTTTTAAATGAAATAAACGTTATAATATTTCCTCGATCAACGATATTATCATATGATTTATGTTTACAATAGAAATTTGTGAAGTCAAATTCATTACAATTTCAATGGAACAATCACTTGATCAAGACTCACCACGGGAAAACTGAATTGATGCCATTTTAACTTCAAA